GTCTGACTCTTTGCAACCCATGAATCGCAGCACGCCAGGCCTCCCTGTTCATCACCAACTCCCAGAGTTTACTCAAACTCGTGTCCATCCAGCCATCTCATCCTCTGTCCTCCCCTTCTCCTCCTGCCCCCAATCCCTCCCAGCATCAGGATCTTTTCCAGTGAGTCAACTCTTCGCATGAGGTGGCCAAAGTACTGGAGTTTCAGCTTCAGCATCAGTCCTTCCAATGAACACCCAGAACTGATCTCCTTTAGGATGGACTGGTTGGATCTCCTTGAAGTCCAAGGGACTCTCAAGAGTCTTCTCCAACACCACAGTTCAAAAGCATCAATTCTTTGGCACTCAGCTTTCTTCACAGTCCAACTCTCACATCCATACATGACCACTGGAAAAACCATAGCCTTGACTAGACGGACCTTTGTTGGCAAAGTAATGTCTCTGCTTTTTAATATGCTATCTAGGGGTTCTCAAACAACCTACCGCCTTCAAATTCTCTTCTTTCTCAAACTCATCAGCACTTGTTTTTACAAAATTATAATTATAATAATAAGAGTACCTTTCATTTTAATAAAAGGTCTAGAAGAATCTATATTAAAATGTTAACTACTATTTCTGCATGAAAAGATTACATTTTTCTTATACTATGGATGTGAATAATGACGTGAACTAGTATTGATTTAGTGATAAGAAAATAAAAGGTTCCCCCCCCAAAAAATAGTAGAATAGTGGGTGCTTACAGCTGAGGTGTTAGGGAGTTGGAAGGATACAGATAGTAACTGCTAATGGATATAGGTTTGAAGGGCAAGTGATGAAAATATTCTAAAACTGATTGTAGTAATGATTGTACAACTCTGTAAATATATTAAAAAACACAGAATTGTGTATTTTAAATAGAAGACATATATCAATAAAGACATTTTTATATATTAGAAAGAGAAAGATGATGCATACTAAGTGATAAGGGAAATGGAGCAAAATGTTAACATTCAGTCCGGAAAAATGATGCATCAGAGTTCTTTGTACTGAATGACAACGTTTGGTGTGAAGTTACATTAAAGAAAAAACTAAAAAAAAAAAAAAAAAAAAAGATCTCTCTCTTGTTAATCACACACAGTATCCTTGCTTAACATGAAACAGAAACCTGCCCTAGAAAAAAACAATCTTATGTCTGCTCCTGCCAAACAAACGTTTTACTGTCTCCCTACCACCCATCAAACTCCGGCAAAGCATACAAAGCATCACTCTAAGAGAAGAAAAAAAGGATAAAATGTAGCAAGTGAGACAAATATTCCCCAACTTTCTCAGGACCTCAGTTTCCTCATCAGTAAAAATCAGGTTATATAATGTCTAAGAGAGCTTGCAAGGACTTCCCTGGTGGTCCAGTGGTCGTGTATTCGCCATGCAATACTAAAGCCCCACATACCTTGGAGCAACTAAGCCCAGGCACCACAACTACTGAGCCCACGTGCCACGACTAGAGCATCTGCACACAGCACAGCAACAAAAGTCTCGAATGATGCAACAATCTGCATGCCACAACTAAGACCTGATGCAGCCAAATAAATACATATTTTTTTTAAAAAAGGTGCTTCCATGTTTGACATTCCATGATTCTGTTGTTCTAACTTCACTGTCCAATATAGTTAAGGGGCAGTAAGATCTGACCAGTCCTCTGGCTTTCCTGGACAGTAAGCCATTTTTTCTCTTTTAATGATGATATTAAAACATGATTTCAAAAATAAATAAATAAATAAAAGATGATTTCAGGGTACTGTGTCCTAAGTAAGTTCATACAGGACACTGGCTAGTTTCCCATCTATGTTCCCAAGCCCTCTCTTTAATTTTTGGCAAGACCCACTATTCAGAGCCTAAGAAACTGGAGTAGCAGATTCATGAACCTAGGATACTTATATCTCAATGCTGGGTGCAGGTCAGTGAAAAGGAATGTAAAGATTCCAAAGTAAGAAATAGGTTACAAGCATACCGGAAACTTAACTCTCAGACAGAGATAGGGAAAGTTAACTCAAGAGTCCCATGTCCTGGTAAACCTTCTGCTGCAGTCACCTGGTGGTGATCATAGGAAGAAAAGGCGAAAATGAAGATGTCCAGAACACCCATCTATCAAAGAGGTAGAAAGAGAGACTGGAATCTACTACCATCTGCTTCCCCACTTAGAACAGGCCAACAAAATGGGTCAACGTTTTGTAAAATCAAAATCAAAAATGTTCCTTCCAGAATTGCCTATCTCCTTGACAAACTCAAAACCCAAACAAGCAAGATACCATTTCTTCCAGTTGGCTAGACCTGTGCTTCACCAACAGATTATCTTTTTCTTTCCTTCCGCCCAAAGTACTTCCTCAACTAACTCAAAGAGAGACAAAATAAATTTTCATATCTTCTTCAGTTCCTGCACAAGTAACTACACGACTTGCCTAAATGCTTAAGTCTACAAGAAAGAGGAAGAGGTGACAGGGAGAGACTTCATATAAAATTAAATGATCAAAGTGTTTTTTCAACAGTGCAACTTCTATGGTTATTGCTGCAAACAGAAAAGAAGGAATCTTCATCTTTCTCCATAAAGCTAGAAGACAGCATCTTTGATCTGTTTGTTCTGGACTCACTTACTAAGAGTATAGAATCTATCTGAGGTATATAACTTAATTTGTTTGAAGAGAACATAGACTCCTTAGTACCTCCCTAGGGAATCTGGGTGCAACTCACAATTTCCTGTAGTTTCATTTACTATGACATCATCAGTTTGGGAGCTATAAAGCAGAGAGAAAATGCACCCTGGAGAGCTTCAAGACTGACCAGCATAGAGCTATTTGTATTGTTTTGTTTTCCTTAAAGATTCCCTCTGGGGTCCAGATTCCCCTATCAACCTACCAGAAATGAAATGAAGAAAAAAAAGAAATCCTTCAATCAGTGCTTATTCTAGCAACGGGCACCTGCTGAATAAACAGTCTTGGCATTCCACTACTGCAACCATATTTAAAAAGAAAAATACCCTTCTTTACACATTTTATACATCTCATCTCCCTCTTTATTATATGAATAAGCTTTCACAAGGATATCATTTTAGCTTCCTGAAAAGCCAGATAATTAACAGATATTCACTAAAAGAGAATTAACACTTTTGAGAGTCTACTTGATAAGACACTTTTTATTTATATTCTCCTTTTTAGAGATGAGGACCCCAGCAGTTATATAACTTGGCCTCCAGTCACAGAGACAGTCAATAGCAGAGTGAGAATGTTTAACCCCCAAAACCCATGTTCTCACTAACAAATCAAATCATTCCCAGTTCCACTCATAAGCTTTATCATCTGCAAATCATTTTCTTTATTTTTGAAATCAGACACTCAAAAGCACAGCATAAAAATAACACTGGTTTATTTCATCAATTTAAAGTTTCTTTTACTGAGGAGAACTGTGTCATTTTAAGTCTTTTTGACAACATGTTAACATGTAGAAAACATATCAACATGTTTTCTAAAAACCCAGCCAAGCAATGAAATGCAGTTTATGGCACAAGAGGGGCACTGGATCAAAGTGAAGCAATTGATTTTCCTTCCTGGGCTCATTTTCTTCTCTGAGGTCCTTCCAGCTCCAGTACCATGAACTGAATTCCAACAACTATATCTCAAAGTCATAAATTTAACAAATAGGAAACACAAATGAAAAATCAGCATCAGATTACAGGAATTCAAAGACCTAAAAAAGAGAACTTAAAACTATCCCAACAATAGACCAAGAATTAATTAGACCAAGTATTAATTGTATTATTGCTTCATGATTTTTTTCTCCACCTGCTATTAATTTGAGGAAGTAGTGTATTTGCTCTGACCTTGTTAAAGGTCATCAATTTATCATTTTTTAAAAAGTCCATTTTGATGCATGCACCTAATTTTTTTTCATAAGAAACACTGAAATTTTTCTGGTGGGGGGGGGACACACAAAACTTGTCCTGTCATCTCTGAAGCAAAAGAAAATTAGTCAACAGGATATTCGCTTTCAGGAGAAAAACTTTACAGTAAACACATCACGACAGAACAGTAAAAAGGAATATCTCTCATCAAAGCAGGATGACACAACAAACCTCCACCTACATAAAACCTGCAAACTGGACACTCCAGACGAAAACTTTTCCAAAACCAAAGACGGTGCAGTGGAATTCGCGGGGACTTTACAACTCTGACACCGGTGCAGTGGAATTCACGGGATTTTACAATTCTGACAATTAGTGCCAGATATGATCTGGGCCTTATCTTCACTTCCCCACCACTTCCCGTTGAAAGATGACTTGAGAAACATCACTACGCAACCCAGGCTCTCCAACTAGGCTGCTGCCCTTTTATTCACCAATGACGCTGGTCTCATAAAGGGCATAAATTATTTTCAATTAAAAAAAAAAAAAAAACACGGTACGGCCCCGGGTTACGAACCCTTTCCGGAACGAAGAGAGTTCTCGCCCTCCTTGGGGTGGCCCAAGTTCACTTTATTACTTCACGTCCCATCAACTCAGGGGGCCTAGCCCAGGGCTGGGTTAGAACTGTTTTGAGGAACTGCGATCACAGGTTTCTTGGGAGGAGGCCAAATAAAACTCACGAAGTTTTTGTTTTCTTTTTTTTTTTTTTAAGTCTGGGTGGAACTTACTTTCACCAGGAGTGGGAAGCCTTTTTCCCTCCCTAACGGGTGTTCGAGAACAAGCTTCCCTTTTATTTTACAATAAGTCACTCAACCTTCACCGAACTGAGAGCACGATCCTTCCCTCCTCATCCGGGAGGACCTGGCCACAAGCACAGCGGCGAGCAGGGACCGTTGGGACCCGTTACGGCTCAAAGCCCCTCTGCCCGTTTCCCCTCCTCAGCCCGACGCCCCCTTCCCCGCGCTCGCCCCTCGCCCGCCTCCCGGGACAAAGCCAGGGTGGGGGAGGATTTCTCGGGGTCCCCGGCGGCCGCGGGCGCGGGGAAGCGGCCCCGGACTCAGCGCGCACTCACCCGACAGCTCGTCCGGCTCCAGCCCGGTCTCGGTGTCCAGCCCGCAGATGACAAAGTAGTCGGCGAAGCGACTGGGCGCCGAGCCCCCTCCGCCGCCGCCGCCGCCGCTCATGGCGCCGGGGCCGAGCCGGGCCGGGCCGTGCGGAGCGTCGAGCCCCCGCACCCGGGCGCCCGCCCGCCCTCAAGCCGCCCCTCCCGCCGCCGCCGCTACCGCGGCTCCGGCCGCCGCCCCCGGCCTTGGCCCGGTCCCCGCGGCCGCCGCGGCTGCCGTGACGGGGCAGGGGGGCACCGGGCCGCCCCGCGCCGCATCCTGGACTCCTTCCCCTCCGCTTCGCGGCCGCTGTCGCCAGCCGAGAGCGCTGCGGCCGGAGCGAGCGCGGAGAAGGGCGAAAAGCGCTGAGGAGAGCCCCCACCAAGGCTCCCTCCAGCCGCGCCTGCGCAGGCGCCGTTGGGGAGGGGGGCGGGCTTCTCGCGGAAAGGATGACGTGATGCTCTTCTGGCCTAGCGGGCCGCAGCTTCCAAGGCTGTCGCCGCAGCGCGGCAGGCAACTGCTGGATCGCCTGCATCCGCCACCCCCTCGGGGCTGCGACTCCGTTAGGAAGGGCAGCGGAGGTGCGGGATGAGTGGACGCATCCTTCAGAGCCTGGCCCCTGGCCCATGCTCCGCCCCCACCCCCGCCTCCCACTAAAGGTCCGAAGATCTCCCTAGCTGGGCTCTGTCTCCGGAATAGGTCTTAAGATTGAGCTAGGAAGCCCAGCTCATCCTCACTCTAGGAAGTCCACCGGCCTAAACCGCAAATAGCCTTCTCCCCAGCCCCGCTCCCTGACGTCCATGGCTGGCTTTTTCTCTAGTAGAGCTAGGGATGTCTCCTCTTTTGCCAGAGGTGATCAGCCCGCTCTGTATTTACCCTTGGCTTATAAATAGGGAAACTAAGGCTCAGAAAGAAGCGAGGCCTTTCCCCATGGTTACATACACTCTGAAAGACAAAGCCTGGAGTTGAATCCTGGGCTTGAGATCAGTCCCTGCCCTCTCACCCCCACTCCATGCACATGGCTTTTCTCTTGCACATGGCTGGTGCTTTTCTCTCTCCTAGAGCCTCCGGAGGCCCCTGTCACTGCGAGATCCCCTTCTGCTTCTGACAATTCTTAGTTCCATCCCTGAGCGAGTTCTCCTGAGAGAAGTGGGGGACCAGGAGAGAAACTTGCTTCCTGGTATTTGGATTGGGACCCTCCGATTTGGTTTCCCACAGAATTTAAGCATAAAACTGGAGATCAGAAATCAAGAAGGCAATGTGTATAGTGGTTACTTCTAGTAGGCTCTAGAAACAGAGTACTCAGATTTGAAACTTGACTTTATTATTTACTGTGTGACCTTGGGCAGTTTCCAGGTGCCAGCAGTCATCTTTCTTGTGATTACGTAAGATGAATGCTCATACAGGTTAAGTGATCAGAATAGTGTCTGAAAGTAGAAGGCACTCAATAAATATTAGAGATTATATTATTATTCCAACAAGAGGTGTGCCTAGGGTCTGCTCTGACACCTAAAGGCCTGAGAAGGCAGCTGGCTTCCACAAAGGCTCACCCTGAGTTCTCTCCTGGGTACCACTCTCAAGTATTGGTTCCCGCAGGGAGGGTGACTTGGAAGTCACAGCCGATGTCACTTGAAACCATAGCACCTGATCCTCTTTGTATGTAACCTGCCTGAACCAGTAAGAAAAACAGTGCAGGAAAGGTAGCTTTACAAAGTGCATTGAGGGAGGTGCCTCATCCTGTCTTGCATGCTGGGGACACAGAGACAGGAGAGGAGGCTCAGAGAGCTAAATGGTTACAATGCCTGGAAAGGGGGCATCCTTCCAGGATGGGTGATGGTCAGGGAAGGCTTCCAGGAGGAGATATAATCCGACCTGAGTTCCAAAGGATCAAAAGAAATATCTCAAGTAAAACAGGGAGGGAAAGATGTTTCAGACAGCATGTGCAACAACACACGGAGTGACAGGTTAAAATGGTTACACAGGAGCAACAAGATGTAATTCATTTCTCTGGAAGACAGAGATTTAAAAGATAAAACCAGGGAGAGAGAAGAGGGACAAAGCAGGAAAGGCTTCAAATGCCAGGCTAAAGAATTTACCCTGTGTCAGAGGAATGGTAACCTGGAGGAATTTCAGCTGAGGAGTGACAAGATCTGATTTACATCTTAGAATGATCACTCTGGGAGTCATGTGGAAGAAGAGACTTAAAAAGGGTTTGATTATTCTCAGTTTGAAGTCTAGAAACTTTTTATCCAATGTGTCCAGGGTGATCAGGTGCTAGGAGACCTCTCACACTAACTGAACTCATAAAACAAGTTAGAAACAAAAGACTGTATTAATTTGCCCTGGGAAATGTAACTGCTCAGAGGCCCCAAATATTCAACTATAAAGTGATCTCTTTCCAGTAGGAAATATGTTTGGCAGAGTGATTGCTTCTTCCAGATTCAGAGGAAAACAACAGAGCTGCATGCTCTTAAGTTTTAGATTAAATCCTCACTTCCACTCTTGCTAGTTATGTGAGCAGAGGTACATCAGTTAACTTCTCTGAAATGGGAATAATCATTCTTACGCCCACAAGATTGTTTTCAAGTCTTAATTTTTTTTAATGAATGAAGAAAGGAATTTAAATATCTGGAACATAATATACTCTTTTGTTCTTAAGCCAATGTTTCTTTTTAATATTTATTTATGTATTTGGCTGCACTGGGTCTTAGTCATGGCATACAGGATCTTCGTTGTGACACGTAGGCTCAGTTGTTGTGGCTCGGGCTTAGTTGCTCCATGGCATGTGCGATCTTAGTTCCCTGATCAGGGATCCAACACATGTCCCCTGCACTGCGAGATGGATTCTTAACCACTGGACCACCAGGGAAGTCCCCATAACATACTCTTAATAAGCGGCAACTTGGGGCATCCATTTCAGCACCGAGGATCTGAGAGAGAGCAAGTCGACATCTGAGGGAAGGTAAATACAGGAAATACTCCTGGGCTTCTCTGGTGACTCAGATGGGAAAGCATTCTGCAATGTAGGAGACTTGGGTTCAATCCCTGGGTTGGGAAGATCCCCTGGAGAAGGGCATGGCAACCCAGTCCAGTATTCTTGCCTGGAGAATCCCCATGGCCAGAGGAGCACAGTATAGGGTGGCCAAGAGTCGGACAGGACTGAGCGACTAAGAACAGCACAAATGCAGGAAAGGGCGTGAGGCAAAAGTGTGCCTGCAGTGGCCAAGGAGCAATAAGAAAGCTAGGGTGGCTAGAGAGTGTTGGAGGTAGGAGGAGTGAGAGAAGATGGGCCTACAAGTCACCAAATAATCGTGTTTCCCCTTCCACAGTGTGTGGAGTTGTTCCTAGGGAGCAGCTGCCTGGTCAGGGAGAACATTTCCCAGCTACTTGCATTCAGATATTGGTCATGTGACTGGTTCTCACCGATAGACTATGTGAAGGGCTTTGTGGGTGTCACAGCTCGACTAGGATACTGAAGCCAATGAAAGAACAGGGAGCCCACCTACACTGTTGGTGGGAATGCAAGTTGGTGCAGCCACTATGGAAAAGTGTGGAGATTCCTCAGAAAATAAAAATAGAATTACCATATGATCCAGCATTTCCACATCTGGGGATATACCTGGACAAAACTGTAATTCTAAAAGATACATGTACCCTATGTTCACAGCAGCACTGCTCACAATCACCAAGACATGGAAACAACCCAAATGTCCATCGACTGATGAATGAATATAGAAGATGTGATATATATATACACATACACACAGAATGGAATACTACTCAGTCATAAACAATGAAAATGCCATTCGCAGGCACATGGATACAACTAGAGATAAACATACTAAGTGAAGTCAGAAAGAGAAAGACAAATACTATATCACTTATGTGTGGAATCTAAAATATGGCACAAGTAAACCTATCTACAAATCAGAAGCAGACTCACAGACAGAGAACAGGCTTGTGAATGCCAAGGGGGACAGGGTGAGGGAAGGAAGGACTGGGAGTTTGGGACTGACAGACATGAACTATTTCAGGATGGACAAATAACAAGGCCCCCCTGTATAGCACAGGGAACTATATTCAATATTCTGTGATAAACTATAGTAAAAAAAAATAATATTTATAAAAAGAATGTCTACGTGGTCTATAACTGAGTCACTTTACTGTATAGCAGAGATCGGCACAACATTGTAAATCAGCTATATGTCAAAAAAAAATTTTTTTTAAGAAGCAAGTGAGATTAACTAATTAATTAAAATTTTAAGAAACACATGAGGCTTTTTCCGTCTCTCTTTTTTGCCTTCCACCAGCTAGAAGTAGAGAATTCAGAGGTTCTAAGGAATGGCAAAACAGAAGACAGAGAAACCCAGATCTCTGAATCAACTACATGGAGGAAAGGCTCTAGCTGACCAAGAATACCCACTTAGGACTGTTTGGTGAACAGAAAACAGACTTCAGTTGTGTTAAGCCACTAGTAGTGTGTTGTTTTTTGTTATGGCAACTAGCATTACCATCACTCAAGTAGAAGACATCGCAGTGGGGGAAACAGATTACAGAGAGCCTTGTAGGCACATTGTAAACATTTTACCTTTGTCTCTGAATAAAATGAAAAATCACTGGAGATCCACAATGTGGATCACAATAAACTGTGGAAAATTCTTAAAGAGATGGCGATACCAGACCATCTTACCTGCCTCCTGAGAAATCTACATGCGGGTAAAGAAGTTCCAGAGTGGGAAAGGAGTACATCATGGCTGTATATTGTCACTCTGTTTATTTAACTTAAATGCAGAGTACATCATTCGAAATGCTGAGCTGATGACTCACAAGCTGGAATCAAGATTGCCAGGAGAAATATCAACAACCTCAAATATGCAGATGATACCACTCTAACGGCAGAAAGTGAAGAAGAGCCTCTTGATGAAGGTGAAAGAGGAGAATGAAAAAACTGGCTTAAAATTCAACATTCAAAAAACTAAGATCATGGCATCCGGTCCCATCACTTAATGGCAAATAGACGGGGAAACAAAGGAGACAGTGACAGACTTTATTTTCTTGGACTCCAAAATCACTTTTACTTG